GGTCTTCATTAAGAAGAGAAATGGGCCAGAAGGCTTGCGGTTCCTGTACATCATCGGTCTTAGGAATCATGGCGATATGCGCTCTAAGCGTGTCTGGAGAGGGCAATGAGCCCTGTCGTAACTCATTAAAATAGTCAGCCAAAAAGGGCGCCAACAGTGCTGAGAATTTCTTATAATAGAGACCAGAGAAGCCGTCAGGACCTGGGGCCGCGGTGGACCGTAAAGATTTGATAGCTTGGAGCACTTCCGGTACGGTGACACCGGCGTTGAGGGCCACCTGTGCTGCCTCGCATAACCCAGAAAGTCGGAGATCTTGAAAGAATGCCTCTGCTTGAGCCATGGGGAAGGGATCTGGTTTAGCGTAGAGGCGCGAAAGGAAGTCTGAAAAACAGCAAACAATCTGCTGGGGATTAGAAGTACAGCCACCTGTAGGAAGTCGCAGTCGGATCGGTTTATGGGGTTTCCCCACAGAATTGAGTTTCCTGGCCAGCATTGGGCCCGGCTTATTAGCACAGGAATAAAATTTGTGTTTGGTCCAACGCAGGGCCTGTTCCGCCTCCGAAGAGGCAAGTAGGCGTCCCGTGTGCGTTTATGGGCTGCGGATGGAGATTACTTCCAACGCGCATTGCAGAGGCCAGGAGAGAATAAAGCTCCAAAGGTCGGCGCTCCCACTCCCGCTTCCAGACCGCCACCAGCTGTATAAAATGACCCCGCACCATGGCCTTATGCGCCTCCCATAGGGGCACAACCGAAGGGACCGATCCTGAGTTTTCCGTGAAGTATGTCCATAAGAAAAATTCTATTTGTTGGCAGGTAGTCTGAGTGGTCAATAAGGAGTCATTGATGTGCCAATGAAAAGGGTGCCGTTCTGACCCAGAGAGGGCCAGGAGTACCAAGGGATCATGGTCTGACCAGGGTGAGGAGGGAATAGTTATCCGCCGGACCAAGGGAAGCTGCTGGTGCAAAGATGTGAAAAGAATTTATGCTGAAAACGATTAGGCGCGTAGTAAGAGACAAAAGTAACCTCCTGGTCCCAGAGGGTGCCTTGCAGAAGCAAATACCTGCCTGTGGGGTCCGCTATATTCCTAGCACAGACAAAAGGGAGATTGCGTTTGAAAGCTATCAGTACACCACGACGCTTCTCAGGAGCCGAGGCCGTGTAAAAGGTGGGTTAGTGAGGTGAAAGATAACATGGAGCAGAGGAATGAGAAAACCTGGTCTCTTGTAAACATACCATGTCAATTTGTTGCGATTTGAGGTGATGAAAAACTTTAGCCTGCTTCTGAGGCAAATTGAAGCCTTGAACATTTTGTGAATGTATTTTCAAAAGGGGCGAGGCCATGGCAGCATCAGCATAGCACGCTCAACAAAAAAAAGCATAAAGCAGCCAACAATTTCTACTCCCACTGGCGATCGGACCGTGGCGTCCCGGAACCCTGCATAAAAAAAAAAAAAAAAAAAAAAAAGGAAAGAAAAAAAAGAAGAAAATGACACGTATAAAAACACGTATATAAAGTATATACAACAGTGCAATTGTGTCACGCCAATGGTGACGTGCATCCTACACTCGAAGGATACCAGTTAGGGGTGGCTCTACCACCGGACACATGGCTGCAAATGAAAACATCAAAAACATAAGCCCTCAGGGGGCAAAAAGGCAATGAACATAATAGAACGAGGTACCAAATAGGGACACTATGAGACCCAGGAGCGAGAACCTCCGTGATGACCTCCCCATAGAAACCCGGAGAACCATGGGGGCCAACCGCCTCCCACCCAATCGGGCCTATCAGGTCAACCTGCCACCCCGGAGCCCGAGGCAACCATCACCCTATGCCACCAAACGGAGACCCGAATAACATCACCCGGACCCCAAATAGGCTGCAACAGACTTGCAGCTGGGGTCCTGGAAGCCTCCGGCGGCCGGCCCAAAATAGAGGCCGCAGCTTCAGCCCGCTGGGTGCTGGAGGCGCGGGCGGCCGGTGTTTTTTTGCCCATTGGGGTACCTGGAGGACGAGGGGCCAGCGAACAAGCAGGGGGACTCCCCCCTGAGAGTCAGAAATCAGCCGATGTGTCCGGTGGCCGAGGGAGAAATTCGAAAGGCAGCCATCCTGGCTGCTGCTCACGAGCGCCCCCAATTATTTTTTATCCCATTCCCACCATCACCTCCCATCCTATTAAAAGGATCTAAATGCTGGGAAATGGGCATTCAGATCAGGTCATTGCTCCTGGTGAAGTATGCATCGGGAGCTTTTCAGTACCCGCTTATTACTGTGCTGGGAAAGCACTCTCAGCACATTAAAGGGTTTACCTAGGGATGCATATATGCAGCTGCTAGCCACCGGGAAATGGTTAATCTTCCTTTTTAAAAAAACTGGGACATTACTGCAAAGTAATGTCATAATTTGCTAGTATGCACTGCATACTAAATACATTATGGCACACTTACCAATGAAAACAAATCCCTCCAGCGGCACCCTGTCACTGCTGACAGGGAATCCATCTTCACCCGGTCTTCCTTCCAGGTTCATGAGCTCCAGCCATTTGAATGGCAGAGCCACGATGACATCACTCCTGCAGCCCAGCTCTTTCAATGGATGGCATTGCCTTCCATTGAGAGCACGGTGCACTTGCACTGGTGACATCACTATCTCCTAAACGGTGCAAGTTTAGGAGATACTAACTGTACCTACAGGTAAGCCTTAGTATAGATACAAAACAATGAGGGTTTACTCCCACTTTAATTTTATTCTAAGCAAAAGTAGTTTTTTTTTTCCATAAGGGTCTCCTGCTGACTGACCACACAGCATCCTCTCTTCTTGCTCCCTCTCTCACAAGGCCCCCGATGTCCTCTCCTGTTTTTGCTCACTGATCGCATGGCTTCTATTGTCTTCTCTTCCTTTTCCCGCTCACTGATCACACAGCCAGTGGTTTCCTTTCCTCCTGCTTTTGTTCACTAAGCACATGGCCTCCGGCATCCTTACCCTCCTGCTCCCATATGCTGATCATACAGCCCCTGGCGTCAAGGCTTTGGCTGACACAGGCAATGAGCTTTTCAATATTAGCAAGCATGTAAAGCTCCCTCTTCAATACAGTGGGGAGGGGGTATGAAAAGAAATCTTCTGCAGCTTCTACCAACACTGCCTCAATGTCTTCTTGATTCCTTTCTGATTCAGTGTACCTTACAAGAGCTCTAGGCTTGAAAGTGTGAGACTAGTGGTGTGATGTATCATTTGGTCATCCACATGTGACTAACTTTGTGCTAAAATTCAGTCACTCAAAGGTCAAGGCTTAATGAAATACATTCCAAACATACCCAGTTTACAACACACAAGCTTGCTTTTTTTTTTTTTTTTTTTTTTCTTAAGCTCAAAAAACACTGGAAAAAAACCTCAGCATAAAAAACACTGATAATAGCATTCTTTTTTGGGAGTGGTTTAGGAGTGTTAGCGTTTTATTAGCATTTTTACAGTACATGTGGGGGGGTGGCTGCAAAAAAAAAAAAAAAAAGAAAAAAAAAGCTGTAGGAGTGTTTTGCTTTTTTTTTTCCTGCTGGGGAAAAAAAGCTCCCAAAAACCTACAAAAACATTTTTTTTTCCTGCTCCCAAAACGCTGAACTTTGAAAAAACGCTACTAGCCAAAAATAGCGTGCATGGACACATAGGAAAATACTATTTAGCTTCTAGGAGCAGAAAAAAAAAAATGCTGATAACCGCTTCTAGGAGCTTAAAAATACGCTACTGTGCATGGGGCCTCACAGTCAGAGGTACAGGGATGACCCTGTCTTAGCCGTTCAGAACACTAGACTGTGTGTAAAGTCCATGCTTTGCCCATCATAGTAAGCATACCCCAAGGGGATCTTCAGGGAATGGATTCCATAGCAATGTTCCAAAGCCCTTGACCTGTATAGCATCCTGCAGTTAACTCCGTGCATTGCAGTAAGGTCCAAGGTGAGCGACCCACACAGAATCAGGGTTTTTCTGAAGTTGCACTGATCCAGATAGACTGCTTCTGTGTAGGTATTAAGAATTCTTCAATCAGCCTTGCTGCATTCTAAGAAAATTCTCAGGGAAGGAAAGGTCCATCACCTACAGACACTAGTGAAAAACGGAGGACTCACAGCATAAGGTAGAATTATAGGGGAGGCACCCCGAAGGTGCGTGTCCTCAAAGGTTTACCAATGTCCATTCACCTGAAGATACGAGCCTATACCTATGGTGTATGAATTACATGCCTGTGTCCTGTACTGTATGATTAAGGCATAAGATTTCCATGTAATTTAACAGCTTAAAAAGAGCAGCCTGGCAGCAGTGGTGTTATAGTATTTTCAGAATGATCAGGGGCAGCCTTGCAATAGTGCCTTCAGGATTAGAATAAACCGATCACCTATAACAAGGCGATCACATAAGAAAGAATTGTATGTAAGAAAAAGCAGCAAGACACCATAAAGCTTCAGTACAATTTTCTTTATAATTTACTTCATGTTTATTTTCAGAGAAGACTGTTAGTGTAGAACAATTTCCCTCAAGCCAGCAAAGCTGTTATATTATTCTCAGTGTTCTGTTCAGATAACACTGAAGGACATTCTGCACTGGAGGGTTTAACATTAATACATATAGATATAAATAAAAGGCCTAAGAAAAATTCATCCCCACATTCTCCCTGTCCGTATGGTAAGTGCCAACATGCAAACGCAACACCTTGAAGAATCCTTTAGTTCCGGGGCACTGGAACTATGATAAGAGCACCTGATCCGATAGGCACATAAGGGTCCCGTGCATGGGTGGGGACAGAGGAGGAGCAGGAAGCATACTCTGGGAAAGAGCAGAAGAAGGGGGAAAACTGGAGGCCAACAAGACTATAGATATAGATTTATATATACACAATGGTAAAACCTTCCTTATAGGCTAGGGGGATTTGGAGCAAATTTCATAGTGCAGCGTTTGCAGGAACTCGTTTTTGATGTTGAAAGGAATGGGCCTTTTAAGATCAGTTGTTGCTCATTTGCTCAGTTTCTTTATTCTGGAATCGATACTGGAGAAGTTGTCCTCCACTGTAGCTAAATTCTCCTTCATGGCCTTTTGGACCTGCATAGAAGAAAAAAAAAGCGATGACTTCATCAGCATTTACACTATTGTAACCGTTTACCAAAGCACAGTGAAATATCACACACACACACACACACAATGCAGAAGATGAACTGAATGAATTACCCCCAAAAAAACTAGCTAAGGTGTCCTTTTATGAAAAAGATCAGTGGTGATCCTAGGGATCGTTGCTGATCTCCAATCGTTAGTGGTTTAGGAAATGTATGAAGGAGCGATGTCAGCCCTTCACTGGCGATCTGAGCTGGAGAATCGGAGGAACCGCTGCTTAGTAAATGGTGTTTGAGTGATCTCTTACTGTAATCTCGCCAGATTATAGTAAAAGCAGCAGTTTTCCAGCATTCAAAGCGTTTGTAGATCGCTTCTCTCTTCATTCGGAGAAATGATCTACACCGCTTCATAAAAAGGCATTCAGAGGAGAACTCTCTCCTCTGAGAATGCCAGAGAAACGAGCAGCGGTCATTTACCGCTGCATGATAAAAGGACACCTAAGTGTACTTTAGCGTGATTTGCAGGGCTGTGGAGTCGGTAGATACATGTTCCAACTCCGACTCCTCAGGTTTTTGTACTTCCGACTCAGACTCCCCGACTCCTCTGTATTAATATGCGAATGTATTTTATACATTCCTTGAAGGAAAGAAAGGCAACATACATGTCATTACCACAGGACTACTGGCTGGGAAGCCAACAGTCTACTGTATTGAACAGTTTAAGCAAAAGACAAACAACGAAAACAAAGTTTTATTAATTTTTTTTTATTAATTAATCAAGTGGCTGGATAGTAGCAGCAGGCATAAACATCAGGAACAGGAACTTTACCAGACCAAAAATACAAACCACATTATTTGGTTGTTTTAGAACAAAAACAAAGCTTATCTATATGAACCAAAAACAAAATCTGTAAAACCTAGAAATGGTTTATATTAATCTTGAAATGTAGTTATAGGCTTAGCAAATGCAAATCAATTCAATGTAGAGTTCTAAGGAAGAGAATTGCCTCTGCCAGATCCTCTTTCATAGAGGCTCTTAAGTCAGACTTTATTATTTTTAGGGCTGAAAATAATCTTTCAACACTGACTTGGGTGGGTGGCATTGCAGTACCTATTCTGGCCACATCACTAACGATCTCTGGATAAACAAGGATGGCTTCTTCAACAGTAAGTTTTGATGAGCGATCATACTTTTCAACTTCTAGTGCTTTATAAAACTCCTGTTGGAATTTTTTTATTTGGACATTTACTGGTTCTGTAACGCTTAGTGGGAGGATCCAGGAAGGGGCATTTATTATAAAACATGATTTCCCTAGTCGAATCCCATAGTCATGTTTAAAGTTTAAGCTAACAATCGGAGTTTAAGTTTTTATAGTCTTCGCTAAATGGACAGCAGTTTTTCCAATGGTTTACAGCTTCAGTCTTGAACTATTGACCCTCCATTCCCTTCACTTATACAAGGGTCTCTATACAAGGGTCTCTAGCAAAAAATATATTTACTTAATCCCTAGGTTACCCATGGGCGCTGCGTTCCCTGTAACAGCAGAACACAACACTATGGAAAGTATAAGTATTGCCGCTTCTAATTGTGCGTTGCGTGCCATATAGTGAAGCACATGAAAAGCATGCTTCTTCACGGTCACTTAACATGTTCGTTTTGCGGTTACGTGAGGCACTGCATGCATTGGTCTTTATTCTTACAGTAGAGAAGTCATTCATTATAACTTTTTGTGAATTGGGACATTTAAACTTGCTTTTTTTTTTTTAATTCCAATCTAAATTTAATCGGAGTCGGAGCATTGTTTGCCGACTCCGACTCCAGGAACCCAAAATTTCCTCTGACTCCACAGCCCTGGTGATTAGTGTCACCATTTAGAAATTAAAAAACTTCCACTATAAACCTTGAAATATATATATTGAGAGGAATTGCTAGAAATGCATCCTGTTTAGCAGTACATCTTTATGTATGTGGACAGAGACAATCAAGATTGATCCCTATGAATATAGTAACAAAATATGTCTATTTTAGCAATACAAAGTGAATTTACTAAAGCAAAGTGATATTAAAGGCTAGGGTTTATTAAAAAAACAAACATATATTACCTGTACTGTGCAATGGTTTTGCATAGAGCAGCCCCAATCCTCCTTTGCTCAGGTAGCCTGCCCACGTTCCTGGCCCCTTCCCTCGCTGAGTAAACCCAGAATAAGCCACTTGAGGAGGAGACGACCCGGGAGAGTCTAGGCTCCTGCGCACAGCGCTGTACTGAGATCAGGCTCAGGTGGGTATTAGAGGGAGCTCTGGGAGGAGCAGCACACAGTTTTTTACCTTCATACATAGAATGCATGAAAGAAAAAAAAGAAACCTTCGGCCTTTACAACCAGTTAGTCCAGTTACCTTATAAATAAGTATAATGGTATCTTTGTGGTGTTTAGTTGGTTATTTTCTAGACTTTGTAGCAACCTGATGACTAAAAGTTCTATCATTTTCACAGTTGCATTGCTATACTTACAAGAAAATAAAGAAAAAAAATGTGGAAACTGGAGGAAGGAACACTTAGAAAAATAAATAATTGGGGTAGAAACAAGGATTTTTGTACTTATCTTTGAGTCCACTGAGGGACACAGGAAGTCTAACTTCTGGTTATACTGTCACTTATGGGAGGATTGGACAATGGTAAATTGGGCAGCACAGTGGCTAAATGGTTAGAACTTCTGCTTGGCAGTACTAGGGTCGCTAGTTCGAATCCCATTCACGGCACCACCTGCCTGGAGTCTGCATGTTCTCCTTGTGCCTGAGTGGGTTTCCCCCGGGTACTCCAGTTTCCTCCCACACTACAAACACATGCTGGTAAGTTAATTGGATCCTGTCTAAATTTGCCCTAGTATATGTATGGATGAATGTGAGTTAGGGACCTTAGATTGTAAGCCCCTTGAGGGTTAGGGACTTTAGTGAATGTACAATATACAGTTAGGTCCATATATATTTGGACACAGGCACAATTTTAGTTCTATTCAGGTATTTACCAAAACATATTCAAGCTATAGTTATATAATGGATATGAGCTGAAATTGCACTCTCAGGTTTAATTTGAGTGTATGTACATCCAAATTGGAGGAAGGGTTTAGGAACTACAGCTCTTAAGGAGTAGCCATCCCCCCTTTTTCAAGGGACCAAAAGTAATTGGACAGTTGAATATAATCAAAAATAAAATGTTAATTTGTAATATTTTGTTTGATAATCCTTTACTGGCAATGACTGCCTGAAATCTGGAACCCATGAAACCCATGGACATTACCGAAGACTGGGTTTCCTCCTTTCTGATGCTTTGCCAGGCTTTAACTGCAGCTGTCTTCAGTTGTTCTTTGTGGGTCTTTCTGCCTTTAGTTTTGCCTTCAGCAAGTGAAATGCATGCTCAGCGGAGTTGAGATCAGGTGATTGACTCGACCATTGCAAAATATTCCACTTCTTTTTCTTCAAGAGCTCATGGGTTGCTTTTGAAGTGTGTTTTGGATCATTGTCCATCTGTACTGTGAAGCACTGTCCAATTACCTTTTTTGCATTTGGCTGAATCTGGGCTGACAGTATCTCTCTAAACACTGCAGAATTCATCCGGCTTCTTCTCACATCAATAAACACTAACAACCCAGTGTCACTGGAAGCCATGCATGCTCATTCCATCACACTGCCTCCCACAATGTTTTACAGATGACGTTGTGTGCTTTGGCTCATGAGCTGTTCCAAGCCTTCTTCCCATCATTCTGGTACAGATTAAATCTTAGTTTCATCCATCCAAAGAATGCTTTTCCAGAACCGGTCTGGCTTTTTAGATGTTTTTTGGCAAAGTCTAATCTGGCTTTTCTATTCTTCAGACTTATGTATGGTTTGCACCTTGCGGTGAATCCTCTGTATTTGCTCTTGTGAAGTCTTCTCTTGATTGTAGACTTTGACAATGATACGCCCACCTCCTGGAGAGTGTCCCTTACTTGTCTGGATGTTCTGAATGGGTTTTTCTTTACCATAGAGACGATCCCGCGATCATCCACCATGGTTGTCTCCCATGGACGTCCATGCCTTTTTATGTTGCTGAGCTCACCAGTGCGTTCTTCTTTCCTTAGAAAGAACCAAACTGTTGATTTGGCCACTCCTAATGTTGCTGCTATCTCTCTGATGGATTTGTTTGATTTTTGACGCCTTACAATGGCCTGTTTCACTTGCATGGACAGCTCCTTTGAACGCATAATGTAGATTCACAGCAATAGATTCCAAATGCAAATACCACACTTCGCATCAAATCCAGAACCTTTACCTGCTTAATTGATGAAGAAATAACGAAGGAGTAGCCCACACCTGGCCATGAAACACCTTTTGATTCAACTGTCCAATTACTTTTGGTCCCTTGAAAAAGGGGGGATGGCTACTCTTAAGAGCTGTAATTCCTAAACCCTTCCTCCAGTTTGCATGTACATACACTCCAATTAAATCTGAGAGTGCGCACTTTCAGCCCATATCCATCATATAACTATAGCTTGAATAGGTTTTGGTAAATACCTGAAAAATCTAATATTGTGCCTGTGTCCAAATATATATGGACCTAACTGTATATGTAAAGCGCTGCATAAATTGACGGCACTATATAAGTACCTGTAATAAACAAATAAAATAAAAAACAAACAAACTGTAGACCAGCCCAGGGTACCCCTCCTACTACCAGCATGCCTCGGTTTTTAAACAAAGCAATACCGAAAGCATTGTTTTAAATATAGAGAGGCTAGACCTGTGTCTCTCAATGGAGTCAAAAGAAAAGGATTTTACATATACGAAATTCCTATTTACTTTCTTGTCCTTTGAGGGACAAAACCTTTAATCTTCAGGATTTCAAAAGAAGTTCAACTGAGGGGTGGACAACAGAGCAAAACAATTGTTAGAAGCCCAAGAAAAAAAAAAAAAAAAAACAGAAAGAAAATGGGGACTAAAAGGACCTCACGCCCAAA